TCAATAAAATCGAAAATTATATTTTTTAAAAGACTCTATTTTCCAAACTAAATGGTAAAAAATTATGAATTTTTTTCATAATATTCATTTCATATCCCTTTATCACATACTCGTTTTTTATTAATCTCATTTTTTAAAATCTCAATGCTAGTTTAGGCCCTACAAAAGTAAACGCGACAGTTTTATCAACTTTGTATAGGCGACACGTATAAAAATGCAATTTTTAATTGCTTATATCTCAGTATTGAGATGGTCAATCTCATTCTAATTGCACAAGCGTGTCAACGACTTCTAGTACAACATATAGTTTCAATTTCAAGAAATTCTCAATATTTTGAATTTGCGAGTGTACTACCTTAAATAAAAGAACCAATAAATTACATAATACGACAAAGCAATAGACTCTGTGTACTTGCTCGTTTGGTATACAGCATGATGACGACCGACTCCGCTGTGGCGAATAGTTAACGAAACGAGCGTCTTTAGTTAATTTCCTACATTTTAGTTAATTTTTATGGTTGCAACGGATGTATCATTGCTATTTTTAGAAATGAAAAGATTTTCGGAAACGATTAGTGCAAATTCGGCTATTTTCTTTATAGAATGGTAAAAATTTTTTTTATCACCTCATACTTTAAATGAATAGAATTGTGTCTTTTGTCTTAAAAACTTTGTCTTTCATTCTTTTTCGTTGATAATTCACGTAAAACAGTAGAAATGTAATGTGTCCGTCTACATAATGATGTGACGTTAGTGCGAGTGGTTATTCCTCTTTAGAAAGAGAAAAATTTAATGCTGCAGTAAATATTAAAAATTGATTAGTGATTAATTATTTATTTTTAGTATTAAAGGCACTGTTCTTAGTACTTATAATACTTAAAATAAGTAATTAATTACTAATCAATTTTAATCAATGTTTACAGTATTAAATTTTTCTAAGAGCCGACCGATATAAATATCCGCAACTGCAATTATTCCGCGATGAATCTTGACTAGCGAGATCCGCAGACCTTTTTAAGTAAATGTCGCATCAACCTTGACTAAGTTTATCCTAAGGCTAAATTATGTTCATGCGGTCACAGCCGTCTTTGCGCGCAGTTACGCAAAAATAATTAAGCGATTAATTCCTGATTTTGTAAAACAGAAATGCAGGTGTGCAGGATCTGCATTGTATATTCGAAAAACGTATACATATAATTAACAATAATCTCATAACAGCCACATTCCTATTGAATGCATGTTATAACTCGTCCAACTTTACTCGCGTTCTCATGAAACTGTTTCGCGGTAATTCCATCAAATCGGTTAAATCGTTTATGTGGGAACAAACGCGGGAAGTCAACGGGTTACTGCGTGCATGTGTGTGTGTTCTCGCTGTTTATTATACTCTTACGAAATCGCTGTTTCCAGAAGCACGATCGCTAGGTGGGCGTCTCGAATGGCGCACGCGCCTCTTTCGGCCAGCTGATTCCCTAGACCTACTTTTCGCCCCGATGCGATGATGCGGACTGACATCATATATACACGGCCGTGTCACTCTCGAGCCCGTGGCAATAGACGGAGGGGGACCGCTTTTTTCTCTCTCACCGATTTCTTACAAAGCAAAATTGCCACGTAATGCTGTAGCTTAGTCCAACCCAACAAAAATCAATCACAGCTTATCCGAGGCTCAACCGATTTTCTACTCCTTTTTACACTTGCTTATGGAGAATAGTCGAAAAGTCAATTAAATTTCACAATCAGTTAACTTGATGTTTATGAAAACATCACGTTAACATCAGTTAACTTGATGTTTATGAAAGCAACTCATAATTTATGAGTGAGCCGTGCATTTTCTGTGAAGATGACTTTATCTGTTTATCTTCTCCCTCTGTATATAACCGGCAGTCATCTGCGTGACGTGATCGTGATGTCACACATTACTAATAGCAGCAACAGAAAACTAGACGCGTTTGTTTTAACTTAACTCTGTACCAACTTTATGACTTCAAGCCGCAGCTGCAATTGCAGTTAAACAGTTCAAATTGAATCTTCAGAAATAAGGTGCTTTCGATGTACGTCTATATCTCTTGTGTTTTTTAGAATAAATACAAACAATTAAGATTCGTAGAACGGGAGCAATTTCCTGATCTTCCCACATTTTAGAATGATGATCCATTTGACATTATTATCTACATCTAGTAGAAAAATTCCCATTTAACAAGTAACACAAGCTTTGTCTTCATATTTTCAAGTCATCAAGATGATTGTCATTTTACATGAAATTTAGTCCAAGTGGTAACATTAGGTACAAATTATTCTTACGATGCTAGCCCGTGAATCACCATGTGAGCCTCGTGTTCGTGTGCGTGTACACGCGTGTCGATGAATTCTGTGCCCTAAATCTTGGTCATTGCTCGAGACCTTAGATATTCACGCGTTACTTCACTGAACAAGCTCTACTTAAGTATGTACATGCCAATAACGAAGGTTACTTATACAGACCATTGGCAAAAGCAGAATATAAATCGGTAAACGACATATATAGTATAGCTGCGTATGAATATATATCTACGCGCGAGAATATCGTCGGACACGCATATGTACAGGATACAAGATCACTAGATAGACCTTGCTGTCAGTTACCGTATTTTATAGAAACAAAAATAATAAATATTTGTATATCCACAATAGGATCAAAGTGTCACGCGTTAACACGAGCCTGCGCGAGGTTTCTAAAATTAGACATACATCATTTAATTACAATGTCTCTTAATTGCATTTTGGAAAGAAGGGGGGCGAAAAAAGAAGTGGAAGAATAGGAAAAATAGTGAAAGAGATTTTCCTTCGCTCCTTGAATTATCCCGACATCTTATAGTAATTTAACAATTATTAAATGTGATACTTAATGTAATCATCTCGAGGACCGATGCAATTCTGAAAACGGAATTTATTCGGATAAAATTTCCGCAAGGAAGAGAGAAAGGTTTCTTGAAGTACGAGTATCGCTCCTCGAAGAGTCCAATCGGGCTTCGAATCGTCCACCCTGGTTGGCGCGTGATTACGATGTCGCGCCGTCACGTTAATTCACTGACAGCAAACTAGTCTATCCGCGTGAATTATTGATTAATTTAATGCGACAGCCGATAAATTCGCCACGACAATCGTAAGCGATTCGGGCAACTCGAAAGTTCGAAACGCGCAGGAAGTGAAAACTTTTTCTAGATATTCGGAGAAGCAGAACTCCAGTTAGAGATATATACCTTACAATCAGAGGCGCATTGTTATATTGTTCACAAATATAATCAACATTGTTGAAAAAGGAAAATGATCAAAATAAAAACTAATGATCATAAAATTATTTCAGTTTTAGCGAAAATGCATTATAATTGTTGATGCTAATTATCGATATATTATATACTTTACTACGATGGCTTCAGCGAAAGAATAAATATGACAGTAGCTAAATGTCAAATTTACATGTTTAATCGATCCGTTAACCATAGACCGCGAATGTTGAGGCAAGTGTGACCTGGCTTGACGATAGGGGATATTCATTTTCGATAACGTTACGATAACTCGTGATTAAAGAGGCATGCTGATGAAAGACATGTCTTCAGTTTTATACAAAGTAGAAGGAACGATCCTTCGCAACACGATTAATTTTATCTCTCACAATTGCCTCTCACAGATATAAATTCATTGGATTTCAGGATTAGATGGTTTTTATCCAAGTTATCAGGAATACCGATTTATAGTCAGAGAACAATTCGTATTCACCCTTAAATTGCGCTCGAATCACTCACCTGATGGACTCGTGTTTGGATCGTTATAGCCCGTCTGTCGAGCGAGAACGTTCGAGCACTTCGACTATAGGTTGGCTCTCTGGCTGGTGAACGCGCGACTGGTGAACCACAGTGGTCCCGTGCGCGGCGCGTAGCGTTCTGCGGATCACGGCAACGAGGTGCATCGAAACCGAGGGATAAGGAAAGGACGTGGATAGGCAACAGAGGAGGGAGAAAGAGGGAGGGGAGGGAAAACGAGAGAGAGAGAGAGAGAGAGGTGTCTTCCTCCCCATCGCGCACTTCCACGTTCATACGATCGTTGGGACGGCAGTCGGCACACAGAGGCAAAAGTGGTGGGGTGCCCGTCTTCGTGGTTGCGCACTCCGCAGCGCCGGCGCTGCATCGACCCATCGCCCCCATCGGTCGGTGGTTCCTCGACGTACGAAAAAGACTAACGACAGAGCCACGACTGTCGCACGCCAAAACGCACGCCCCGACCCCGCGCACATTATTTCTTTCTCTCGCTTTTGTTCGAAATTTATCCTAATTCTCCGCGAACGGCCATTAGCTCATCTCAGCGAAGACGTAAAACTTCAAACCGTCCAGCATCATCGTTTACGTTAGCTTCTATTTTGTACCAATTTGATTTATTTGCCTCAGAAAAAGATTTCTGTACCCTATGCAGGCTATGCAAGAACTACGTCCGTCCCTTGCTTATTTAGGGCAATCGGACATCCTGAACTAGGTCAGATCTTGAAAGTTTACAAGGATACTTTAGAAAATGAGACAACGAGAATATCCTTGTGAATTTATAGTTTCATATTTATTCTTCTATAGTTTATACAATTCCACGATCATCAAAAAACTTATAGCTTTGCAATATTTGCAAAATAATCACTCAAAATCATGTGATTAATGGAGAAATCGTAAAACTCTTTTCTCATGGCTTTATTTGCCTTGCGAAAGATTATCTTTTATTTACATAGTCATTTACATAGATTATCTGTCTTGCATGACTCGGACTGCGCAGGGTGTAGTCGCACAACACAATTAAGTCATTCAGATAATCAGCTGTTTTACACGTCAACAAAACATGTTGACCAATATTTCGAGCACTTGCCCAAAGATCATTCGATTTTTGCCTCTCATTATCTTGATAGAGAGCGTGCACGCGACTTGAAGTTGAGCGTAGTCACGCAGTGCAAACATAAAGGTGTCCACGCTCTGATCGATACCCTACGTTTGTTCTTGGACTTTTTCCAACATATGAATAGCCGCACATGATTATGATATCAAACTTCGTGGTTACATTAAGCATATAAAATGTGCTCGGAAAATCTTTAAATAACAACATCTAAAGCCAATGGTATAATAGATGTGTATTTTATTCTTAACATCGAATATAAATGTAGTAACGTAGGAAAATTCTCACATAACCGATATTTTTAAGTAATTCGCTGTGTTATACAAGACTTTAAGTCCAAATAAATCAATTTTATATCAATTCCTGTGAATTTCTCGAAAATAATCTTAAGTAAGTCATCAGTTTTAAAATTTAGTCTTTTAATGCAAAAACATTTTAATAGTTAAGAAATAAGACTTTTTAAAAAATTGTTTTAAAATGTTTATTTTTATTAGTTTAAAGTCATAAAAATGAAGCTGATATAAAGTTGTATAATTATTTAAAAAATTATTATAAAATTTATATTTCAAGATTTGAAGCGCGCTTTTTTCAAAACATTTTTAAAAATGGTGATATTAATTGGTGATCATATTATTGTTCAAAGCACAATTTATCCGATTAATTTGAAGTTTTTAAGTAACATTTTTAATATTGTGTATACTGTTTCACATGGAGAAGTTTTTTTTATTTTTTCCTAATTTTTCCTTAAGTTATAACAATTTTTTTAGAAAACGTAATGTTTATTATGTTTATTCATGTTTATGTGTCTATTTAAAAATATATATATATATTAAAAGTTGCAGTATCAAGTTGCTTTTCGCCCTAATGAAAGAACAGCATTGTTTATGAAACGCTAGCAATTCAATTAAGACACGGAGAAATTCGTAAATCTCTTAGCATTTTTTAAGAGAAAACCCGTGAATGTTTTAAGGGTATAAAAAATTAAATTTTTAAAAATTCCTTTCGTAAACTGACAAATATAACGTTAAAAAATTTTTTATCTTATTGTTAGATAATTTACAGAAGCCACCATGCAGGTGCGCACAGATTGATTACTTAGGACATTATTGGTTATTATTTCATTATTTTTGTGTTATAACTTTGCATGTTGATTTTATTAGCAGAAATATTTTTCCAATAAAAACCACTATTTATCAATTTATTCCTTGATAAATAAAAATGTTATATGTATGTGTTGAAAAGTACTACATTGTCGATTCGCTACACTTTCTCTTCATAATCTCTTAATCTTAAATTAATCTGAAAATTATTTTTTAAAATAGTTTTAATAGTTTTAATAGCTCTTGGAAAGAGAGAGATAAATTTTCCTAAAAATTGAACCTTTTTAAATTACATGTATATTAAAAATAAAATGATGATAAAGAGCACCGATTAAGAGTACGACTCAGTTTGGTTATTAGGAATGTTATCACACGGCACGAGAATCATATGGTCGCGTTAGCAGAACCTGATTACGACTCAGATAGCTTACACAGTCTGCTTTATTCGTTATACAAACTGTTGCTAATGCATATGACAGCGAAGTGCAGCGCGCTTATCTGTTCCGCGGGAATAATCTTTCATTGGAGATGTCGGAGGGTAAAAATAGTTTGAGTTACCCTTTGACGAACGTCACATCGTGGTTTCAGGTCAGCGAAACACCCACAAAGGATAAAAAAAGGGAACATTCGTTGTACGATTTTATAAATATTAAAAAAAAGTAGGGGGCATACTTACAAGTCTAATCATAAATGTATCATACAATTGCCATAAAAATAAAAATATTTCAGTGTAAAAAATATATAAATCTATGTGATATATTAAATATTCGGATTTTATAAAACAAGCTTTTTCTTTTAATCAGAAATGAAATATTTTATAGATAATATACAGATTTCTATTTATAAAAATCTGTGATAATATATTATTTTTATAGATAACATAGTCTATCAAAGGGTAGCATATATTAAATTTTACCCATATATATAAATGCCGTTTCAATATAAATTGATAAAACCATTTTTATAAAAAGAATATTTCAGGAAAAAAAATGAATAAATAATTGTTGAAGTTTTTAAAATCTTTATATATATATCTTTTGAAATTTTAAAAAGTTCTTAAAAAATAACTCTGGTATTTATTAATAAAATTTATGTGCGACACACGTTACTGATCTAATAATAAGATAAAAATTATTCACTCATCACATTTTTGAATCTCTGTCACGTTGCGCATTGGAGCTTGAGATCGAATTGCGAATTAGAAATCATAATTTATAATCAGACTGAAACGAAATAAAGTTAAAATTATTTGATTCTAATCAAAAAAATTCTAATCTTTAATTCGTAATCTTCAATCTTCAATGCGTAGTGTGACAAAGGCTTCAGTGGTAATTATGATTTATCTGATTGACCATGAAAATTCTTTTATAAATAACTTTTATAAATAGTACACACACACACACACACACACGCACACGCACATGCACACGCACACGCACACACACACACA